AGGGTGGCTCAGGGCTGGCCATAGCATGTGATCTGATGGTGGGATGTCCCAGAAGCAGGCTGGGGACTGCAAAGTATTCTTTAGATTGAGGGGGGTGTCCAAGCTTAGTCTTGCCTAGGGCAGCACAAAACCAAAATACACCACTGCACACGACACATGAAAACACTGCACGCGTGTCACATGAAAACACTGCAGACATGTACCGTTTGCTTCTTTAACTTGCTTGGTAAAACTCTCCCAATCAGGCCATGTATTCTTCCCAATTTCATCCCATGCACGCTGCCTGATTCGCCGGTTCTTATAAGCCGAATCTTTCATGTCATATATGCAGGGCTTCGCCTGCAACCGGGCGTATGAACGCCTCTGTATCGATCAGGCCACATGCTGCTGATTCCTCCATTTTAGCTGCTTGCTTCTTGGTCGGCCGAAAACTGTGTCTGCAGCCCCCAGGGTGTGGTCTGTAGCCAGACTGATACAATTTACCTAATTCTAAGAATAGTCTGCCTAATAATATATCCCTCCCACCATATCAAACAGTTTCAAATAAAACTTGATTAAAAGCTGAATTCTCCATGTAGACCCTTCCTTCAGCCCTCCTTTGGGCCCAATGCATAAAAGTAGTCAGATAATCCAAATGTTATATCTTTGACTATAAATAATGATTTAAACCAATTAGGGTGAACCTATCTGAATTCATTCTTCCTAAGGGTGCCCACACACCTTACGATTATCGTATGATAATCGCGGGAAATCCCGCGATCGTACGATGTTCGTAAGGTGTGTGGAAGCCGTGCGACCTCTACTACTGTAAGGTCGCACGACTTTAAACTTACGGACATGTTTGAAAACCCGCCGAGCATCGTACGATGTTCGGCGGGTTTGTGGCATGTCCGTACGATAACAGCCGCACGGGCCGGTGTGCGCAAGCGCACACTGCCCGTTCGGCATTGCGGTCATCGGAAGCCCGCCCCTCAGGGGGCGTGGCTTGCGATCATCGCAAGTACGATCTGCCTATGCAACATAGGCAGATCGTACATTTTTTTAAGTACCTTACAACCATCGCAAGACAAAAGTCTTGCGATGGTTGTAAGGTGTGTGCCCAGCCTAAGGGCCTATGTCAACAGACTTTAATAGTGCAATGCATTGTGCGTTTGACATCAGTTTGAGATGCTTTGAAGATTAATTGGAATTCATTGCAGGACCATTAGACCTCCAGTTGACCTGCAATTGACCGGCTTCAAGCTGCTTTTGCATTTCAATACACTTAAATGGGGAGAAAAGTAGTTTTGAAGTGAACAAAAGCCAATTGACACTGGCCCTAACCTTTTGATAGTTCTTCTTTTAAGGCCCGCTCCAGCTGTTTCCATGGCAGTCTTAATTCAAAAAGAAAACTACATATATGATGCAGTTGGCCACTGGCAGTAGTAGTTAGATGGTCATGCAATTTTTAACCACATAAGCACCGCCATATGTACATATACATCATAGTCCTAAAGTGCTTTAAACAAGATCCTAGCTGGAGCAGTATCCATGATCTTGGTATCGTTTTTCTCAGGTGACTGTCAGCTTTCACATACAAGTGATCTGAGAGGTGGTAAAACAGCCTGGCCTGTTAAGGTGTCCCCACCTCCACCCGGTACATCCCGGGCCCTGCTGTCCCTCGTGTGGGTCAGTGACGAACATGGCTGTTGGTGATGGATGGACTCGAGGGAGATTAACACACAGGGATTGTTTGATCTCTACTCCAGTGGCTGGAGAAGAAGCTAGTGAAGCACGATCTGTGCTTCATCAGCTTCAGCAGGATCCATAGGTGACAGTAGGGGTCTAATAGATTCCAGATGTCATCATAAATGCTATCACATGAGGGGCTTGTTGAATAAAAAGCATTTCAAAACTTGAAGAAAAAACAAGCAAATAAAAACCCCAAAAAACTCCAAGTAACACCCTTTTAGCAGTTACAGCAACCATTTTTTTTTCTCTTGGAAAACAGATAATGAAACTATATTACAGGGGTATGCAGAAAAAAAAAAATTCCAATGACAGACTGCTTTATATATGTCATTTTTAAGTGTTTGCCCCATGGTTCTACGTTAAAGCCCAATTTACAAATTTGGAGTGCATTACCAGACACACCTGACCTTTTTTTTAAACAAGCACCCCTCAAAACACAGATGGTTCACATCTCTATTATGGTGCATTGAAACACATGTGACTTGAGGAGCTTTGGAGTGACCATTCAAAGTGAATACCACTGCAGCGGTGACTGATAAAACCGACTTCCACACTGATGATATGATGCTTGAAGAACGTTGGGAGAGAGGACACCCAGGACACCGAGGATGTTGTAGACTCCAAAAATAAAGGACAAGGTACACTTAAAATGTTGTCATAAACACTTTCCCAAATTCCCTCCATTGTATTTAGTGGGGCAGGTGAACTTAAAACCCATCTGTAAGCAAATTTGGAAGAACCCCCATCTTTACCACCAACTCCACCCCACCTATTCACATTTTGTAATTGAAAAAATATCCCTTCTTAAGCCTTTTGTAATCCCAACCTGACTGTCCATTGTGCTTGATCAGCCAGCCAGCACTGCACAGGCACTCATAAATGTTTGCAATGTCCTGGCATGTTCATTTGATATGTTTTATAACAGAAACACACAACAATTGGTTAACTCACACATGACTAAGGTAGCTCAGAGGTCCCTTTCATTAAAGTGACATTAAACCCTCAGATTTTTTTAACATAAACCAATACACTCTATCATAAACCCAACCCCAACCTTACCTAAGTAATACGCCACACAACAGGTGGAGTTTAAATGGCCACAGCAGCCTTTTATTACAAACTTTTATAAATAACATTTAATGCATAACAACAACAACAACAACCAATAACCATACTATATACAAAATTGTTTGGTTTCAAGATCCTTGAAGGCACTATAACTCTATCTATATACAGATCAGTATCTGCGGGCACATTTCTCCCTGAATGCCCCCAGCCGCCATACACCGCCTCGGGGACGTAATTAAATTGTCTGCAGACCCACATTGGTCCCTATTACCCGGCCATAACCGGTTTACCTTGCCACCACAGAAGGACACCCACACCACAGATGGGTCCCCCCCGTCAAGGTATCCAACCACAGACCAATGTCTTCAAGGATCCCAAACCACAGCTGTGACAAACCATACCACAACCACAGAAACCATACCAAGGGCGGGTGGGAAGTTCGTTTCGCTCTTCTGCCAGCCGCCAACTGGACTCCTGGGACGCCTCCTTCCTGTCTCCCATCCGAAGCCCCTCCTGGAAGACCACTATCCTCCAATCCGGTAAGTTACCTTCCCATGACCCCCTTTTCCAACTTCTCTTTAACCTTTTCCTACCCTAGTTCCCCTCCCCACTCTTGTCATGCAGGCCTTACGTTTATTATTCCCTTTTATTGCATAGCTCCAGGCCTTTCTGAATGAATGTACCTGCAGTTTCGCCAGAACAGCTGGGCAAAGTTTTCTGGACCAAATTACATCTACATAGGGCCCCTATATTTACTATAGAAACTGTCATGTTTAGATAAAATGTCTATGGAGGTTATAAACAGACTGTGATCACCTCTATGGGGATGAGACATTCTGCAGATTTCTGGAGGGAAGGAGTATATATAAATGTAACCACAAGCAGTAAACTGCGCCAGGACAGCAGCCATGTGTCGATGTGTGCACTGCATGGGGTGGGGCGTGTGACATGCGTCTCCTCTCCCTCAGCCTGTTACTAGGGACGCGGCCGGGAGGGGAGGTGAGTCACAGGACCGGCCCCCTCACCGAGAAGCCCGCTGTTCTAACACCGGGGACCCTGCACTGCCCCATATTGCAGGACCAAACCCCATTGAGGCTGTGGGGGGGGCTGGATTGCCCCCCCCCCACACAGCGCGGTAGTTCCGCCCCTGAATGGTTGTGCCATTGAGAATCACCCCATGGCAACACAAAATGGGGGGCATTTATCAAAACTGGAGCAGACAGAAACTGGAGCAGTTGCCTATGGCAACCAATCAGCTTCTCGCTTCAGTTTGCTCAGGTAAGATTTGAAAATGAGAAAGAGAAGCTGATTGGTTGCAGTGCAAATCTGCTCCAGATTTTGTCTGCTCCAGTTTCGATACATTTGCCCAAATGTGCGTTGAGGTGCCATCGAGAACACGCTGTGGTACGATTGAGAATCACCACATGGCAACACAATGGGGGAATTTATCAAAACTGGAGCAGACAAAATAAAATCTGGAGCAGTTTCCCATGGCAACCAATCAGCTTCTGTCTTCAGTTTGTTTCGTTACGATTTGAAAATGAAAGAGAGAAGCTGATTGGTTGGCATGCACATCTGCTCCAGATTTTGTAAGCTCCAGTTTTGACAAATTCCCCTCTATGTGCTTTGAGGTGCCATTAAGTATACGCTGAGGTATGTTGGGGTCAACACAATGAGGGGAATTTATGAAAACTGTAGCAGACCAAATATGGAGCAGCTGTGCATGGCAACCAATCAGCTTCTATGTTTCATTTTCAAATCTTTACTAAACAAACTGAAGAGAGAAGCTGATTGGTTGCCATAGGCAAGTGCTCCAGATTCTTCTGCTCCAGTATTGATCAATTCCCCCAATGTGTGTTGAGGTGCCATTGAAGTACGTTGAGATGCCATTGAGGATACATTGAAGTACGTTGAGATGCCATTGAGGATACATTGAAGTACGTTGACAATCAAAGACTATGCAATGCACCAGCTCACCTTGCGCGCGGTAGCGCATGCTGTGCGATAGCAGGGTCTGCCCGTTTAACCGAATGCTAGCCCTGTGTCCCTAGTTGAACCAGGGCCAAACATTTCTTCAATCTACATTGGTCCCCCTCTATTTATTATAGGACCTGTCATATTATTGGATATCTTGTACATGGAGCTGCTTGTGATGTAGATTGTTGGACTGACAGCGCATCGCTCTCCATGCTCATCTATAGGGATAGAGAGGAGAGTGTAGTCGGTGTTGTGGAGTGTCAGTCAGTCTCCTCCTCCTCCTCATGTCTCCATCAGATGATTTGCAGCCTCCCCCAGTGATGGAGCCGGACACAAAGTGACCCCGCACCGCTCTCTGCTGTCACACAACCGCTCACCATCACAACGCCCGCACAGGACTTCGGAGGAGATGCAGGAGGAGCGGGAGGGTGACAAGCCGGAGGATGAACCGGGGGATGATAAACAAGAGCCGGCCAAGGAGGAGGAGGAGACGGAGGACGATAAGCAGTCAGGGGCAGTGTGTGCCGGAGCATCTTCTCTCCAAGACACCAGGACCGACTCGGACAGTGTAGAGAGCAGCGATACCCCGAGCCCTCCGACCTGCAAGATCTGCTTCCAGGGGCCTGAGCAGGTAATACCATGCTGTCATCCACACATCATCCTCATCCACAGGCTTCACTTGCACGACCTCACTGACCTGGCTGAATGAGCTGCACCGGGGCTTGTAAATCATCGGCCTGTCATACCTGATGTCCAGGATGTGATCAGCAAAAATGATGCAGGGACCTAATGACATGAATAGTTCCATTAGCTGGGGATGTGTACAGAGCTCTGCATAGGCGTCTAATAGATCTTCCCATATAGTATAGATCTATACAGAACTCTGCATAGGCTTCTAATAGATCTTCCCATATAGTATAGATCTATACAGAGCTCTGCATAGGCTTCTAATAGATCTTCTCATATAGTATAGATCTATACAGAGCTCTGCGTAGGCTTCTCATAGATCTTCTCATATAGTATAGATCCATACAGAGTTCTGCATAGGCGTCTAATAGATCTTCTCATATAGTATAAATCTATACAGAGCTCTTCATAGGCTTCTCATAGATCTTCCCATATAGTATAGATCTATACAGAACTCTGCATAGGCTTCTAATAGATCTTCTCATATTGTATAGATCTATACAGAACTCTGCATAGGCATCTAATAGATCTTCTCATATAGTATAGATCTATACAGAGCTCTGCGTAGGCTTCTCATAGATCTTCTCATATAGTATAGATCTATACAGAACTCTGCGTAGGCTTCTCATAGATCTTCCCATATAGTATAGATCTATACAGAGCTCTTCATAGGCTTCTCATAGATCTTCTCATATAGTATAGATCTATACAGAACTCTGCATAGGCTTCTAATAGATCTTCCCATATAGTATAGATCTATACAGAGCTCTGCATAGGCGTCTAATAGATCTTCCCATATAGTATAGATCTATACAGAACTCTGCATAGGCTTCTAATAGATCTTCCCATATAGTATAGATCTATACAGAGCTCTGCATAGGCGTCTAATAGATCTTCCCATATAGTATAGATCTATACAGAACTCTGCATAGGCTTCTCATAGATCTTCTCATATAGTATAGATCTATACAGAGCTCTGCGTAGGATTCTCATAGATCTTCCCATATAGTATAGATCTATACTGAGCTCTGCGTAGGCTTCTCATAGATCTTCCCATATAGTATAGATCTATACAGAGCTCTGCATAGGCTTCTGATAGATCTCCCCATGTAGTATAGATCTATACAGAGCTCTGCATAGGCTTCTCATAGATCTTCTCATATAGTATAGATCTATACAGAGCTATGCATAGGCTTCTAATAGATCTTCTCATATAGTATAGATTGGGAACCCGACAGATGTCTATGGAGTTGTGTATACTCACACCTACACATCCTTCTTCCTCCTGCACTTTGATTCTCCCACATCAGCATCTCAAAACCTCTGGCTGATTCCTTTTTGTATTACTTCCTGTAATTTGTCATGATTACCCTTCAATTTGAACAGTTTGTGATGGAGATCTTTGCAGAGAGTCTATCACATGAGCCTGTAGTTTTTGAACTTCCTCTAGCCCTCATTTACCTAGGTCATTGCTGTATGAAATGCCTCTTCCTGTGTTATACAAGACTGGCCATGTCTACTAGACAGGAAATGTCATCTCAGTCCTTTCCCCCGGTAAATACTCCAAAGGTTAGTACACTCATCCACTCATCAAGAAGCTCAGACACTTTATTTATGGGTGAAAATCATGAATGAGAAATAATTGTCATTTCCCCGGTAATTCATATGCATGCCAGTGATCTGACTTGGTTATTAGGCTCATTCTCAAGCCAGGTGTTCTGCCCCAGCACATGCTTCCAGGGGTGGGCAACTCCAGCCCTCCAGCTGTGCCTTAACTACAAATCCCAACATACCTCTGACTTTGGGAGTCATGCCTGTATCTGTCAGTCTTATGGGACTTGTAGCTCCTCAACAGCTGGAGGGCCACAGTTCCCCACCCCCGTGCTTGACTATACAGTGATACCATTCACACCAAAAGTAAGGTATACACACTTATATTATCTTCGCTCAGCTTGCGGGCTGAACAAAGAAAATAGTACAGATTCCCCCATCCGTGCTAAACAGAATGGATGAACACATCTCCAACTGTACACTTTGTATAGCCACTGTCAGAATACCTAAACAGTGCTTGCAGCTGATTGGCTGCAAACACAATTCAGCCAAAGATTTTCTAACATCAACTTTTGCCAAGGAAACAGGGTCACCAATGGAGCGAGTTTCGGCCTTTGCTTGCTGAATCATCTGAAATTCGCTTTGTGTGTACCCTACTTAGGCATGAGCATAGCCAGGCCATTTAGAAGCTTTTTTGCACGTTTGTATTTTCACTTTTACGTGTGACTTGTAGTACAGGAGCAGAATTGTGCATAGACTATTATATGGGAGCACCTTAAAAACGTGTGCAAACATGACCGTTCTCAAAGTTCACTATGGTACCCCTCATGTGACTTGTAATACAGGAGCAGAATTGTACATTTTTGGCCCCACAGACTTTTTAATGAGCGCTCCGGAAATGTTACCTCAGTCCTTTCCCTCTCTGTTCTTTTCTTCTATAAGGTTTCAAAAACAATAACCACGCTGAAGTACAGGAACCTTGCTGTGCAATTACCTATGCTACTCTTCAGATCAACCCCCGTGCCCCTACAGAGCCCCTTGAACTCTATGTTCAGCCTATACAGGAAGTTCTCTACAAGTTGAGCTCAGCTTCTACTCTTTACTAATAGTAATTTAATTCCCTGTCATCAAAAGCTAGAGAGCCTATACTGCCTAGTGACATTGGACAGTTAAATGACACGAAACAGAGCTGAGTGTTAGGAGAAGCAGGGCATAATTGACTTGGGTCCTAAATACAACCTGGATCTGCAATCGAAGAGGCACAATGATGAAGAATGCCACAGATAACGTTGGGCACCATAAGGCCCTTCATGTCAGTACTGATGCTACCTTCGAAAAGTTTTAGAATATATATATGCTACCAAAGAAATGGTTTAAACCAGATCAGCTACCATAGAAATGTTTTAAACAAGATCAACTATCATAGTAATGTTTTCAAACCAGATCAACTGCCATAGAAATGTTTTAAACCAGATTTACTACCATAGAAATGTCTTAAACCAGATCAACTACCATAGAAATGTGTTAAACCAGATCACCTACCTTAGAATGGTTTTAAACCAGATCAACTACAATAAAAATGTGTTAAACCAGATCATGTACCTTAGAAATGTTTTAAACCAGATCAACTACCATAGAAATGTGTTAAATTGTGCAAATTGTGCACTAATGCACCTGTGTTCCCGGTGTGTGTGATAGCTCTGAGGGCGGGGGGCGTGGCTGCAGTGCCATTGACTTCAATGCACCTCCATGCCCCTGAACGCAGGTGTTTTTTCATTGGTAGATCTCATTGAGCTCGTCATTTGAAAAGTAGATCTCCAGACGAAAAATTGTGGGCACCCCTGTATTAGATGATTTACCTGTCTCTATAGGTTGGACTTGATGGACTTTCGGTGTCTTTTTTCAACCTGACTAACTATGTAACTATGTAACTATGTATGTAAACCAGACCACCTACCTTAGAAATGTTTTAAACCAGATCAACTACCATAGAAATGTGTTAAACCAGACCACCTACCTTAGAAATGTTTTAAACCAGACCAACTACCATAGAAATGTGTTAAACTGAACCACCTACCTTAGAAATGTTTTAAACCAGATCAACTACCATAGTTACATAGTTAGTCAGGTTGAAAAAAGACACACATAGAAATGTGTTAAACCAGGTCACCTACCTTAGAAATGTTTTAAACCAGATCAACTACCATAGAAATGTGATAAACCAGATCACCTACCTTTGAAATGTTTTAAACCAGATCAACTACCATAGAAATGTGTTAAACCAGATCAACTACCATAGAGATGTTTTAAAGTAGATCAGCTACCATAGAAACATTTAAACCAAATAAACTACCAAAGAAATGCTTCAAACCAGATCAGCTTCACCTCAAGTTGCTTTTTGTGCCCATCTGAGTAGCATCCAAGGTCATGTTTACAGCATCAGGCGCATCGCTTGTAATGTTTGGGCACAGTGCATTTTTAATGGATTTGTGTTTATTTCAGTGACCCCCTTTTTAAGGTCTCCTGTGCAGCAGATTTCATACGTGGCATGTATAGCACAAAATACATTTTTGGCTCATGAAAGATGTGAGCAAGCTTCATTTGTTTAGATTGTTACAAGTTCCATTGCAATTTTGTACAGTTGTAGCAGTCATTGGTCAAACATTTCATCAGGAAAATAAATAAGTGGTCTGATTCTGCTGGCTATCATAAATATTTATAATGTGGATTGTCCTAAGATCCATTTCACAGATGTGTATAGGAAATACATATATACTTTGGAGAATGATGTGTGTTATGGAAAGTTGATGAGAATCAGCACCTAGGACAGCTCTCAGACTTTCAAATGTGTTGGCATGGATATTGTTTATTAGTGGTCTTTCAAATAGGAGTAAAGAAGTGATTTGCATGGCTGGAGCCAGTATTATAAAATACGGATTCATCGGTTTCTTATTTTCCATTTGATTTGGAAGTAATGGCATGTAAATATTTTCTGTTTTAAGGAGTCATTAGCTGAGCAGTTTTCTTCTCTTTGTAGATTCAGACTACTAGTAGACTGTGGTGAGTCTACAACAGGAGAATAGTGATACAACCTGTAGCACATTTTAAACAAACCTGTGGATCATGTTTTAGACTTATTCAAAAGCAGAAAAAATGCTCTAAAAACAGAAAAAAACAATTACATCTGTACTTCAGCTTTATGTGTTGGGTGCCTTTGTGTATTGTAAAATAGGGGAAATAATGAAAGTTATAAATAAAGGTACACTTCAGTCAAAATTAAATAAATAAAGCTGATCTCTGGACATCAATCACCCCAAACTAATTGCCATGTTTAAGAAAAAAAAAAAAGATAGCCTTTAAGCTCCTTCTAGTTACCTAAATCCATTGTTACAT